CAAGGAGTCTCAGCTACAGCCTCGAGGCTGAGCTTCAGCCTCTGGGGGGGTCGCCGGGGTGGCTCTGCCGGGGAAGGGGGGGTGGGGGGGGGGGGGGGGGGTGCGAGTTTCCGGCGAACCCCGGGGCCGCTCCGGGGGAGTGGAAGATAGGGGGGGGGGGGGCGCCATGCTCCGCTTTTTCCGGCGCTTTGGAGGAGGGGGGGGGCCCAAGAGACCCCCAAGGGGTTCCAAGAGGGCCCCGAGTCGCCGAAAAATCGCTCCAAGACGCCCGAGATGGCCTCCAGACGGCCCAAGGTGTCTCCAAGACGCCCCAAGAAGCTTCCAAGAGGCCTCCCAAGAGGGCCCCAAGAGGCCAGAATCGTTGATTTTCATTGGTTTTTCCAGGGTTTTTAGCGTTCTTGCCTTTTCGGGCGTCCGACGCTCGAAGACGGCCCAAGAGGCCCCCAAGTCCGTCCCAAGACGGCCCACGATGCTTCCAACACGGCCCAAGAGAGCCCCAAGACGGCCCAAGAGGGCCCCAAGACGGCCCAAGAGGGCCTCTGGACAGCCCAAGAAGGCCCCAAGAGAGCCCCAAGAGGGGCCCAAGAGGGGGACCACGAACCGAAAGAACCGAGCTTTCCGCCCCAAGAGGCCCCCAGGAGGCCCCGAGAGACCCCCAAGGGGCCCCAAGAAGCCCACAAGAGGCCCAAAAGAGGTTCCAAGAGGCCCCAAAACAGCTCCCCAGAGGCCTCCAGACTGCCTCCGGCAGGCCCCCGGTTTCTTCCGCGGCGCCGCCCAGGGCGCCACCGGCAGGATGTCCTCCGTCTCATCGTTTTCCTTCAAGTTATCGCCTCTTCCTCATTCTCCTCCTCCTCCTCTGCGACCTCACTCCTATCCCTCAACGATCGCGTCACCGAGTGCCTCTTCTTTGAAACATCCTCGCTCTTCAAACGCACATCCATACACACATGCATACATACCTACATTTAAACACATTTGCATACATAGAAAAACAATCTTCCAGACATACATACTTACATTCACACACATACACACATATTATCATACACACATACAAACATACATACAAACTAAATACATACATACGCGCACAAGCATACATACATACATACGTACCTACACACAGGCACACATGATCAATGCATGCATACATGCATGCACGCGTACATACACACACATATATCGTGAAACTCACCGCGTGCTCGAAACTTGAGAGAGACCGCGGGAAGTCGAGAGAAGCCGCGGAACGAGGCCTCTACTACTACTACCACTACTACCACAACCACTACTACTACTACTACTACCACTACTACTACTACTACTACTACTACTACTACTACTACTACTACTACTACTACTACTACTACTAATACTACTACTAGTACTACAGGTGCGTTTCCCAACTAGTATGTGTGTGTGGGGTGATGCTGTGTGCGCATGTCTGCGGCGCAGGTTAAGTGGTGTGACTGTGTGTGTGCGTTTGAGTGTGCGCCCATAATTTCTGCGTCTGGAGAATAACCCCGAGCGACCCGGATCGGCGGCACTGGCCGAAGGCCACTACAATATTACTCTCTAGAGATGGGTAATTTAACAACAACAACAACAACAACAACAACAACAACAATCATTTTACCCGAACGCTCAGTGTTCTCACCAGTGCCAGGGTTTTCATGCGACGCGAGACAATACCCCCACTTCGTGGGGGGGCAGTTCAAGCTCTACCAAATATCCAAACGACTCTTCGCGACCACCCAAACCCAGCTTCCCGCCCTATGACGTTGGGACACTTCACTTCGTGGCGTGCGGACGACCGTGGCTACTACACTGGCGTGGGGTACACACCCACAGAACTTGGTCACTTATTCGGGGCGCGCGTGTGCCCAGCATCCTGCAATTGTGACATACAATACATGACACAGACAGACAGAGAGAGAGACAGAGAGCAGACAGAGAGAGAGACAGAGAGAGCGGAGTTGGTCACATTTTTGGGGCAAGTTCCTAAGATCGTCGTGTTTTTTGTTGGTCTTGCGCGCGCGAATGTCCACTTTACTTTTTTTTGCAAGGGAGTATTGAAATTTGATTATGTTAGAACAAGAAAAAGTAGCTCGCGCGAGCTCATGTAACATAAATGTTGAAAAACCATTGGTTTTGTGGGAGTCGGACAGCGCGCGCGGGATGAAATTTGGACATTTTTTTTTGAAAAACCATTGGGTTTTTGATGTTTTTATGTTGAAATCGCTACGAAACCTAAGGTTCTGGAAGGATTTCGTCTTGCGCGCGCGAATGTCCACTTTACCTTATTTTTTGCAAGGGATTATTGAAATTTGATTATGTTAGAACAAGAAAAAGTAGCTCGCGCGAGCTCATGTAACATAAATGTTGAAAAACCATTGGTTTTGTGGGATTCGGACAGCGCGCGCGGAAGGACATTTTGACAATTTTTTCTTAAAAAACCATTGGGTTTTTGATGTTTTTATGTTAAAATCGTTACGAAACCTAAGGTTTTGGAAGGATTTCGTCTTGCGCGCACGAATGTCCACTTTACCTTATTTTTTGCAAGGGATTCTTGCAATTTGATCAAGTAAGAACAAGAATTTTCATTTTATAGTGTTTTTTGCAAGGGAAAACGGATTACAACAAAACAACCGGATCCGGTGACAATCCACTTTTCTGAAGCTTTCGCTAGAAAATGAAGGAAATGAGGCTGCGGCCTAGGTTTTGGAGGGGGGTCGCGCACCAGGGGTCTCAACAATAATATTTCTTTAGAAGTAATAATATTCAACAACAGCAGCAGCAGCAACAACAACAACAACAACAGCAACAGCAACAGCACAACAACAACAACAACAACAACAACCACAACAACAACAACAGCAACAGCAGCAACAACAACAACAACAACAACAACAACAACAACAACAACAACAACAACAACAACAACAACAACAACAACAACAACAACAACAACAACAATTACTAGCACGTGGGGACACTCCGTTCTCACCAGTGCCAGGGTTTTCATAGGAGGCGGGCAATACCCCCACTTTGTGGGGGGGGCGGTTCAAGCTCTACCAAGTTTCCAAACGACTCTTCGCCACCACCCACACCCAGCTTCCCGCCCTATGACGTTCGGACACTTCACTTCGTGGCCTGCGGACGACCTTGGCTACTACACTGGCGCATGGTTACAATGACTTCTTGTGGTAACATATTGTGGAAACTAGCTTAGTATACGACTTATACCCCTGTTCCAACAATGGGCACGTGTACCGTTTTCCGACGTTTTAACGTTTCTGTACCACACAAGCCAAGACCCTTATTTTGACTGGTATCACGTGCGTGGCGCCAGCATACCACAGGACTTGTTTCCGTTGTTGTGAGACGATATATGCTCATTCTTGTTCTGTGGTTCTCGTTCCAGCCTCAATGTGCAATACTGGCTCACTCGCCTCAATGTGCAATACTGGCTCACTCGTCGACGAAATACACGTGACTACCTCTCTCTGGTTGGAGGTCCTGAAGGTTGTGGCGAAAATTGTCATGGTTGGAGGTGGAGGATGGAGGATACATCTTTGCGACCTGATCTGCCACATACAGTGGTGGATCCAACTGTCGGAGCGCCCCGCATAATTTGAAAGGTGTATTATACTCGATGCCCAGGTGGCGGATGGCAGAACCGTGCTGCTCCTCCAGCTCCTGGGCGCTAGAAATACTAACCTTGCCAGGCACAACCCGATATTTGCCCCACCAAGTCTTGCACGCCTGGTGACTGACCTGGATACCCTTTGCAACGAGCGCCTGATGCAAATAATACGGGCTCTCGCAGTCGGCCAAGGGAGGCCGCGACAGCTCTGGGCCATACTGGTCGTCAAGGGCTTTCGCCGACAAAGCCATGACCCATCCAAGAACACAGGCGATACCTTGATCCGAGATGGCTACGGATGTGACAGTGATCAGTCGGAGGCTTCCTGGGGCCGCTTGGGGTCCTCTTGGGGAAGGGGGGAAGCCTCCTGGCGCCGCTTGGGGTCCTCTTGAGGGGCTTTGGGGGGCTTCTTGGAAGCATCTTGGGGCCTCTTGGGGGCTTATTGGGTCCTCACGGCGGGCTCTTGGGGCCTCTTGAAGGCCTCCTGGGGCAACCTATGGCGCAACCAGTAGGGGGACGTTTTATTCTCGGCGGCCGAGGGCGCAACCTATGACGCAACCAATAGGGGGGCGTTTTATTCTCGGCGGCCGAGGGCGCAACATATGGCGCAACCGCAAGGGATTCTGGCCCCTGGCAGGCGCGCGAACCCCGTTGCAAGAGCGTGCGAAAGTAGCTCGCGCGAGCTCATGTAACATAAATGTTGGAAAACCATTGGTTTTTTTAGGATTCGGACAGCGCGCGCGGGTGGAAATTTTGAAAAGTCGTGCAGGTGTTTTTCGAGGACCTACGGTGCGATTCGTGTGATTTTATGATGCGCGGTGCTAAAATTCTTAAGAACCAAATGGTTTTTGGAGATTTCGGCGTGCGCGCGCGAAGAAAAAACGAATGTGTCCCGCATGGTATTATTTGACAGGGATGATGGCCCTGGCAGGTGCGCAACCGTTGTCGCAGAAGTTCGAAAAAGTTGCTCGCAAAAGCCCGTTTGACAGAAATGTTTAAAAAGTGTTGGGTTTCCTACGAATCCGCAAGAGCGCGCGGGATGAGATTTTGACATTTTTTTGTTGAAAAACCATTGGTTTTTTGATGTTTTTATGTTAAAATCGCTCCGAACACTAAGCTTTTGGAAGGATTTCGTCTTGCGCGCGCGAATGTCCACTTTACCTTATTTTTTGCAAGGGATTCTTGAAATTTGATTATATTAGAACAAGAAATGTCATTTTATATTGTTTTTTGCAAGGGAAAGCGGATTACAACAAAACAACCGGATCCTGTACACATCTTTTACTGAGGCTTCCTCACGAAAATGATGAAAATGTAGCTGCGGCCTAGGCGGCGCAGGGGGGGCGCGCACCAGGGGGCCCAACAATAATTATTCTTTAGAATAAATAATGTTCAACAACAACAACAACAATAACAACAGCAGCAACAACAACAGCAGCAGCAACAACAACAACTCGGAGGCGGGCGGTGGCTCCAGCCTTGCTCAAGAGCTCTAGGTTGCCCGGCTCCAGGTAGTGCTGTGGCCACCGTCGCAGCTTCCTCCGCGGGCTGCAGGGGAAGCAGGGGACGAAGGAGGCAGGAGGGGCAGGGGAAGGGGGAGCGGGAGAGAGGAGGGAGGAGTGGGAGGGGGAGAGACGAGGGAGGAGGGGGACGGGGAGGAGGACGTCGTGGAGCAGCCTCTTCCTCCAGGGCGGGTGACGGCTTCCTCCGGCTCTTCGGCTAACTTGTGGTCAAAATCTGGGGGTGCTGAGTGGCCCGGCAGGCGCTGTGCTGCCTGCACAGTGCCCCTCCGTTCTAAGAGCGGATTTTTGGACTCGGAGTGCAGTGCGCGCCTGGAGGGAGAGAGGGGGGTAGGGAGGGGGGGATGGAGAGGGCGGGGGCGGAGGAGGGAGAGGTCCGTGCAAGCCTCCTGCCTCGTCCCTGCTTTCAGTCTCCCCCACCCCTAAGACCGCGAGAGAAATACTGAGGTCCCCACCGTGCGCAAACAGCTCGCTCAAAATCCAGGAGCAGATCCCATCGTTCGAGCATAGATGCTATGTGTCACCAGGTCACGGCGTATACTTCACGAAAGCATCGTATCTAACGTACTATGCCCGTCCGACAAGCGTCTGCGTTCAAAGTGCATGACACGGATGATTTCCCACCGTTGCCAGTCGCAGTAAATACAGGAATCAGTGCATCCATTACGTCCCGAGCCCTGGCCGAACATCGTTCAAATGATCCTCATCTCTGTTGGCATGGCCTTGGCCCCACTTGCGGACTTAGCCCCCCCAGGCGGGGATATGATCCCAGGTGGTTCACAGTACACCCCCCACCACCAGATTGGATGGGCCCCAGGGTTCCACAGCACCCCCCACGATGGGATGGGGGGAGGACGACGACGACGACGACGACGACGACGGCGACAGACGACGACCCACGATGACGACGACGACGACGAAGACGACGACGACCACCACCACCACCACCACCACGACGGCGGCGGCGGCGGCGGCGCAGCACCACCCCACACCCACAGGGGAAGGGGCGGGGGCACTGGCACCCCGCTGCACCACGCCACGCCCACAAGGCGAAGACCACATGGGGCGTGGGGGGGGAGATCCCATTCGCGAGGCCGTCGCGAGGCTCACGGGCGTACCCATCCAGCTGCGGGCGGGGGGGGGGGGCGAGGCGATCCCATAAGAATTTGGAGGCGGGGGCAGAGTCCTGGATCATATTTGATGCCCGGTCGAGGGCCTACGGGCCCCCCCCCTCGGACGGGATGGGTCCCAGGACTCCACGGGCACCCCCCCCCCGCAGATGGGACGGGGGGGACAACGACGACGACGACGACGACGACGACGACGACGACGACGACGACGACGACGACGGCGACGACGACGACGACGGCGACGACGGCGGTGACGGCGGCGACCTCCAGAGCTCTCCTGGAGCACGGCAGTACCACGCCACACACGCCACACCCACAGCACCACACCACACCCACACAGGGGGGGGGGGCCATCGTGGGGGTGGGGGGTGGACCGATGCCAACAGCATGGTGGGGGGGGGGCCGGACCTGGATCGTATGTGCTGCTCCGTTCGGGTTTCGCGGAACCTATCCCCACCTTGGAGGGTGGGCTGGATGGGCTGGGATACAATGGCCAATTGTGGGGAAACAAAAAGGTACCGATACCCCTACTCCCTGGGCCTCTCCCGGGGTGCGTTCTGACCAGATTTGATGCGAATCCAGCGGTGGTGACGGCAGATCAGGCCCAGGAGGCCCAAAAAGGGGAAACGGGCGAGGGGGTAGAGGTATGGGTACCTCTTCCTCCTCTGAAATTGGGGGTGGGAATCGGTCAGACGATGCTGACTTCAGACGGTTCCTGGGGCAAGGGCCCCCAGAGGTCGAGAGCTGCCGGCGGCGAAGAGGTCTGGGGGCCCCTCTCTCGCCCCCCCTCCCGGTCCACAGGCGGATGCGCAGGTAGTCGCGCAGAAGGTACTTCACGCGATCCTGGGTGAGATCGGGTGGGAGGAGGAGGAGGAGGAGGAGGAGGAAGAGGAGGAGGAGGAGGAGGAGGAGGAGGAGAAGCAGGAGAAGCAGGAGGAGCAGGAGGAGGAGGAGGAGACGGGGTCGCTTCATGGGTGGCTCGGCGCATGCACCGCGGGCAGCCAGAGAGACACAGCCAGGGAGGAGGAAGGAAGAAGGAGGAAGGAGGAAGGATCGGATCGACTCGGCAGGAGGAGGGAACGTCGAGAACAACAGCGCTGTGAAGGAGGAAGGGGCGAGGGGGGGAGAAGAGGGGAGAGGAGAAGGAGGTGTGGAGGAGTGGAGGAGGGCAGCGAGGAGGAAGATAGCAGGTGAGAAGGTCTCCGCGGTAGCGACGAGATGTTGAGGCCCTCCTCGTATTGCTGCTGCCGCTCCTTGTCCTCATCCTCCTCCTCTTCTCCCTCCTCCTCGTCCTGCCAGCACTGATTCGAACCAGGTTCCCCGTCCTTTGGCCGCGTGCAACTCAGCATGCATGCCCCAAACCCTCGCCTCCCCCGCCCTTCTTGCCAGCAAATGTACCCAATCGGGTGGACCTCAGTCTCATGTAGGTTGGCGCGGTAAGCCACAACATGGTGATAATGGCGGGTCGGGCGGACGGACCCGAAGAGGCGGGTCGGGCGGGCAGACCCGAGCGAACGAGGCTGGCGGGCGGGCCGGGTGGGGGGAGGACCCGAACGAGCGAGGCCCAGCGGGCGGACCCTGACGGGCAGGTCGACCACCAGCCTGGGCCCTGGCCCATTATGACCTTGGGCTGGTGTACGGGCCATCCCAGCCCTGAGACGCGATGGCGAACACACCCCTCCAAGGCCCGTGCTGTGCCCTGGTTGCGGAGGCGATGGATCAGCGCGTGGACAGCTCATGCCTGCGGTGCCCGATCCACCACAGGATGCACATGGCCTGACGGCTCTGCCGATCCAACACCGGAGGGCCGAGATGGGGAGAGGCGGGAGGCGAGAGCCCAGAGGCAGGAGGGACGAGGGGGGCTGGAAGGCCAGGCTGGGCCCTCTGCATAGTGAGAGGCTCCCTGGCCACAAGCCGCGCCCGGCGGGCGCGTCCATGTCGATGCACCGCAGGAGGTAGTGCGGGCCGCCGCCCCCGGAGTCGCCGCTCTCGCCGTCGGCCTTCTCCTCGCGCAGAGGGGGCGCCCCCCGACGCAGCGGCGTGGACACGCGGCGCCCCGCGTCGAGGGGGCCCGTCGTTGGTCCCCGACCCCCCCACTTTCCGATGCCTCTTCCCCCGCTCGCCCCCATCGCCCTTCCACCTGCCCCCCCCCGCCCTCCCCCGACCCTCGCTCGACCCTCCTCCCTCCCCTGACTTCTCCAGACGCAGCCCCATCCTGGCAGGTGTCGCCTGCCTTTTGGAAGGAATGCACAGGAGGTAGAACATAAAAAGTGATCCTCCTCCTCCTTCTCCTCCTTCTCCTTCGCTTCCTCCTCCTCATCATCATCATCATCATCATCCTCATCCTCCTTCTCCTCCTCCTCCTCCTCCTGCTCCTCCTGCTCCTCCCCCTCCTTTTCCTTCTCCTCCTCCTCCTCCTCCTCCTCCTCCTCCTCCTCCTCCTCCTGCTCCTCCTCCTGCTCCTTCGCCTCTTCCTTCCCCTGCTCCTCTCCCGCCTCGCTTCTCCCTCCTCGCTCCTCCATCCTCCCCTCCCCTCCCCTCCCCTCCCCCCGCCCTGCGCTCCTCCTCGAGGCCCTCCGCGACAAACTCCACGACCTCGCTGAGGTTCTCCACCACCTGGAGGGGCGCACACCGCCGGGCGCTGGCGGCGAGGAGGTCGGCAGGGCCAGGGGGGGGCCGGAGGTTCCGCGGCGGGGAAGCGGCAGGGCTGGAGGGCGCGAGGCTGGCGGGGTCAGGGGTCCCGGGGGGGGAGCAGAGGCTTTTGGGCGTTCAAGAAGATAGAGAGGCCCAGTGAGGCACAAATGCAGAGGCACAGGTCCCAGGATTCCCCGTACGTCTTTCAGCATATGTTCTGGATGTTCGTCTTCCCCTCCACTTCCCTTCTGCTCTCTTATCTTCTTGGGATATACGTCTATTTGTATATATGCACCCCCGCTTGTCCCCCCCAGCCGGCTCTGCTTTTTAACAACCGACTGCCAGTGGGGGGGCGATTAACGGAGGGGGAGAAGCGTGCACCTTTAGTGACCTTTTTGGGCCCCAGGGGGCCCCTTCGGCCCCATTTAGGGCACAAGAGGTGCACCCCCCTTCACCCCCCCCCCCATTCATCGCACCCCCGTTACTCGACCACCCGAGAGGTAGGAGGAACCCTGAGAGCCGGGTGTTGCGATTTTTCACACCAGGCGTTTTCACCCGGACTTGGGCCCTGGGACCACCATAGGTCGATCGGGCTCCAAAAAATGCCTCCGAGGGAGATGGAGTCTAGGGCTTTTGCTGCACTCACAACGTAGATCTGTCGCGGTGCTGCAATTGTGTTCGCAACGTTGGATCTCAGGGAGTAGGAAAATGGAAGGCGCCCGCTTATGGGGCAGGGAAGGCAGGGAAGGGCCTGGAGGAGGGCGGGGAGAGAGGAAAGGTACGAGAACGGCGCCCACGCACCATACCAGGCTTGGACTCCCTTCAGGCGCCGCTCCAACGCGGTACGGTGCATAGTTTTTCGGCCTTGAGGGCCGAAGAACTGTGCACCGTACCATTCCTGGGTCGAAAATCGGCGACGCCGCTGGAGACGCCAACGCGGCACGATGCACAAAAGCCGTCCGCGGACACAGAGGCCCCTCTTTCAGAGAGTGGGGGAGGGCCTGAAGGTGGGAGGAGGGAGAGCGAGAGGGCGGAGGGAGAGGAGGATAGCGGAGGCAGGGAGGGAGGGAGGAGGGGAGGGAGAGGGGGGAGCAAGGCGAGGGACGGGAGATAGAGGGATGGCGAGAAAGTGAGGAGGGATGGACGAAGGCGATGAAGAGGCGAGAGGAGAGCAAGGCCCCCAGAAGAGAGAGGGAGAGTGAGAGCGAGCACGCGCAGGGATGGGGAACGCCGTCGTGATGCATGCCTCTCTGGCCGCGGCGCGAGCGACGACGCGGGCGTCCCCGGGCAGCTCCGGGCCGTCCTGGGCTCGACGACGTTGACAGACGACGACCAACGACGACGACGACGACGACGACGACGACGACGACGACGACGACGACGACGACGACGACGGCGACGACGACGACGACGACGGCGGCGGCGGCGGCGGCGGCGGCGACGATGGCGACGGCGACGGAAGCTCCGAGATGCTCATCCTGAGGAAGGCGCACAAGCCACGCGCACAGGAGCCGGCGGGCGACGCCCCATGTCGCGCGGGGCGGGGGGCGACACCTCCGCGTCGAAGCGCAGCAGCTCTGGCGCGAACTTCTCGTTGCGCCACCTGTCCAGCCAGGCTCGGAAGGGGGTGGGGGGGCGAGGAGCCGAGGCAGAGGCGGCGGCCGAGGTGGAGGAAGCGGAGGGGAGGAGAAGGGGGGGGGTGAGAGAGCGCGAGCGAGCGAGGCGCCAGTGCAGGCTCATGCGGCGAAGCGCGCGTGGCCCATGCCCGTTTGAGGCCGTAGCCCCTCAGGAGCCTGCAGAGCTCTGGCATCGGGCATCGGAGGCCGGCCGGCATCATGCACCGCGTGGGTGCCGCAGGGGTGGGGCCGAAGCGCCCAAGCAGGTCAGCGAAACAGAAACGGTTACATACAGAGTGGGACTGCGCAAGACGAAGAGGACTCACACACATGACCTGTACACCAAAATAATCGCCGGCCGGCCGCTCATCGGATGATGTCGCAAAATTGCAAAGTTGCACAGAGCGAGTCGGGAAATGAGAGCCGGGGTCGGAAAAAACGAAGCTGCCAGAGTCGTGTGGTCGGGAGTTGATGCAAGAGACATCGATGCCAAAGTCGTGTGGTCAGCCGCGAGAGTCAGAGAGATGTACACGAGAGCCGGCGTTGGAGATGGGAGTCGGGGTCGGAGAAGACGGAGCTGCCCGAGTCGTGTGGCTGGGAGCCAGGGTCGGAAGGACGAATGCCAGAGTCATGATGTGCCTAGCAGCGGGAGTTACAAAAATGTGCACGGGAGACGGAGTCGGAAACTGGAGCTGGTGTCGAGAAGACGAAGCTGCTGGAGTCGTGCGACTGGGAGCCCGGGTCAGAGAGATGTATACCAAAGACATGTGGCTAGGAGTGGGAGTCCGAGAGATGTGCACGGGGGGCGGAATCGGAAATCGTAGCCTGGATCGGACAGATGTATGCTGGAGTCGAAAAGACGCACATTGGAGCCAGAGTCGGAGAATGGAAGCCGAGGTCGGAGAAGACGAAGCTGCCGGAGACGTGTGACTGCGGGCGCTGGTCGGAGAGATGTATGCCAGACTCGTGCGGCCAGGAGCAGGAATCAGGAAAATGCACACGGGAGCCCGAGTCGGAGTGGGAGCAGGAGTCGGAAGGATAGATGCTGGAGTCATGTGGGTGGGAGCGGGAAGCAAGGGGGCGGAGCGGAAGGCAGAGAGGGTGGCCACGGCGGGGGGGAGAGGGGCAGAGGGAGTGGAACGGCAGGAGGAAGGGGATGGGGAGGGATCGGGGGAGAGGGGGTGTGAGGTACTAAAGCCCCTGTAACAAGGCACAGCTAAAGAATGTGAACATGTGCATCACTTTCCCTACTCGATTGAGCTTCACAGCGCCCTCGCGCGTCTCAAAACCTACCATCGTTGTATCGACCCGTGCGGGCGCAAGACTGTCGGCGACAATGCTTATTCATATTATTCACGGAAACGGTCTGGCGAGGGGAAACGACACAAGACATTCGACTTCGTGTGCGAACGATCTTATCGCACTGGAGCTACGGCTCCGAGAAATGACTTTATGAAACCACATGGAGCTCTGCGGAAGCAGCAGAAGACCCAGTCAAAGACGCCGTAACAGTACGAGCCTGGGAGTGCGCGAAGCACATCAGTGACGAGCAACTCGAGAGCAGCAAGGATCTACACCGTGTGCCATAGCAGTTTGACCCAGCCTCCTCCTCCTCCTCCTCATCATCATCATCATCAGCAACATCATCAGCATCAGCATCAGCAGCAGCAGCATCATCAGCATCAGCATCATCAGCATCATCAGCATCATCAGCATCAGCATCTGCATTATCAGCATCACCATCATCAGCAGCAGCATCACCATCATCGTCATCATCAACAGCAGCAGCATCATCATACTCATCATCAGCAGCAGCATCGTCATCATCATCAGCATCATCATCAGCAACATCATCATCATCATCCTCATCCTGCGCCTCGTTCTCCCTTCGTCCTCCGGAAATAAGACGCTGGAACCCCTCAGAGCGACAGGAGAGCCACGAGCAAGATAATCCACT